ATATTAATTTTATGACGCCTCCATAACTCCATAACTTCCCCAAAACTCACTTCATAAATAAATATCGATGAAACCGCTATTGCGGCAAGTGCAACGTTTGCAAAATGTATATATCGATCGATGTGACAGAGTAACTTTAATATTTCAACAAGATTGTAAAAGTTGAGCGAATTTTACAAATACTTTTAGACCGCACAAAAACAAAATTCATGGACTCATGATGTGCGTTTAAAGTATCGCAATTTTTAAATGACTTCGGATGCTGTAGTTTCATTGAAGTGCTGCGGTCTCGTGTTCCCAGTATTCATTGAATTGTGGTGAATAGGGTATAATAGACTGAATATCAAGCGAGCGAATCAATGAATATATGAGGCTATTAAAAACTATCGAGAGTTTACTGCTTAAGGACATTAAAGATGTATATACAGCTACACTATTTTAAGAAACTGGTATGCCATTTCCATTTCATCAGACATCTAGAGATCTAAAAGAATATTATATGCTCATTATATCAATAGCCGAAATCGATATTTTTGAAATGGTTCCGAATAAGTTGTCATTTTTGAAGAGCTTTTAAATTTAATAAATCGACGTACTTTTTAATCACTTCAAACAGGTGCTGGGCATCTTCTAGTCAAGCACTCTTCAGTAGGGCACTTTAACTTGTCTCTGCTATATCTGTATTATTGTTGTTCTTGCTGTTGCTGTTGGATGGTCCTTCATGCACATTGGTATCAAATTTCATGGCTTTCACAATGGGCCCACAGTCGAGTGCGTGTCGATGACAGATTTTCTGTCCGCCGGGGCGTCGATTTTCGTTTCGTTGAAAGTCATTTTTACTCATTTATTGTCACCGTTAGTGGGCGCACAAGTGTGTGTGTCTGCCAATGTATGTGTATCCTTACAAGTACATACATGGCGGGCAGCCAGAGCCAGAGCCAGTGCCAGAGCCTGGGTATTGATTCCACTTCTCGAGTCGCTGCGGGACGCCCAGTCAGTCAGTCAGCCCAAAGCCCAATTGACATGACTCAACAACAGTCATGTCCAATATATATATATATATATATACATATATATATACATATAAATGGCTTACTCTTCCTTGTCGCCCTGCACTCGCTCAACAGCTCGCTTCTCCTTTGGGGTCTGTTTGTGTACTTATTAAATATTTAAAAGCTTGGCCTTTGTTTCAGACAGCGCACCACGGCAAATACTTAATAATAATTTTTAACAACTGCCGCAAACTCTGCAGGTTACCATACCGTCATGTAATTCATTTTCATTGCCCCGATCCCAGACATCGTTCCTTTGATAAACTGCACGCACAGGGAAAGAGAGCGACTTCACTTTCTTACGTGGCTCCCTGCCAATCGTTGAATTCAGAAGTTTGAGTCGCGCTCACATTTTAAATTATGGTTTGCCGCGTTTAAAATACAAATTACACGATACTTATGGCTATATCTTGCGCTCTGACTCATACGCATACTCAGACTGATGAGGCAAGTGGGTCAGCACAGGTAAGACACAATAAGTGCTTATTAAACGGTTCCCGTTTGCTTATTGTACAAATATTTCTAGAATATTTCTAAAGAAAGGAATTTTCCACGGTTCTTTGGCTCTTTTGTTCTTTCTCTCTGTGGTTCCCACACGCAACCTTCAGCAGAAGACACTTTACAGTTGGGTCTACGGAGGCGGTTAATTATGGTTTCGAAACAAATCTGAAGTTACAATGCTACTCAGTTTAGGAAATGCTCGATGATTATTTATTATTTATCGTCTCACATGCAACGCAGATGACAAGTGTTTCCGGCTTTAAATCAATATTTGACTTAAAGGATTGTCAATCAAGCTAAACAATTTATTCGATAAGTTAATGTCCGATAATGTTTGCTTTAATTACTCGGTATACCCCAATCCTTTTAAATATGTTCGATTTGATTTCCATTTTGTTCAAATGAATGAAAAAAGAAATACAATTACAATATGTATATACCTCTTCTACTTGTTTATTATGTGAACTTTACCTTTAAGCAGACATCCAAAAATAAATAAAATGTCAAAATATGGAACTAGTATTCGAACCACTGAAAATGGGAAATCAGGGTATAATGGTTTTGTTAAATGTATGTAACAGGCAGAAGGAGGCGAGGCAGACCCCATAAAGTATATATATTCTTGATCAGGGCGAGATATAGAGACTTAAAATTTTGTTTCCTAGGTCCGTTATTTTGTTATCGATTAAAAAATTATCGAAAATTCGTAATAAATTTATATCTAAATATACATCTTTAGAGCTAGAGTAGCAAAATTTTTATTGTAGATTCATATGTACTTTATAGAATTTCGGATTTTGTTAAAAAATCGAGCAGTCTAGACTATAGCGTTCCTTCTTGTTAATAACTGAATTATATAATTAGAGGAAAATGTACATTATTATTATTATGGAAAAAAAAAAATTATCTGTAAAATAATAAAAGCGATGAGTCATATGATTCGCAGTTCATTAAAATAATTAATAAGGCTTAATTTAATTATAATTAAAGAAATGAAAGTCTCTTTTATTTTTGGCCATTTCATTTGATTTTCGCAATTCCAAATTATTGTAAAATCACAGAGAATTAATTACACTGAAAAATTGTGAAATTTGTAAGTGCTCCACGCTCAAAGAAATACTCAATACTTTTATTTTATTTACAATTTTATTTTCGTCTTTTGCCAAGCAAAAGGATATTCCTTTCATTTTCATTTAGCTCAACTGCTTCAGCTTTATGTTAACCAACTGCCAAGAAATAGGTGAAAGAAAAAATTTCTCTGCGTTTTGTAGCCCCTTTTAATATTCATGCTCTGTTGAGCCGAAATATTTCCACTCATTTTGCAGCTGAGTTAACGCACTTGTACACAAATATATATATATACATACTTGATGCTGCTGTTGTTTGTTCATTTAGCGAACAGCTAGGACTAAAGCTTTGCTTAAATTCATTCTTGCAATCTCTTCGGCTTCGATTGAGGCTTCCTTCGCTCCTTAGCTCAAGTGTAAAATCTATTTGTAGATGTTGCTCCGAGAGTGGGTTACAAACTAAACCTTAGCCCCTGACCCCTAATCCTCTTGCTGGCTCTGCTGGCCACTTCTCGACTCTTCACTGTAGTACATTCAGCTAACACTCGTTTTAGCCGCAGTTAGCTAGCTGCAACCCGGGCGCCAAAAGCTCTGCTTGCTTTAAGACAAAAAAATTCAACAACATAAACTTAACTACCATTCCTGGCATGCCTATCCGGACTTGCAACCCCCTCAGCACGTACCCCTCATCAGTGCCTAGTCACCCCTCAACCCTTGCTCTGCTTCAGCCTCTACCTCTGCCTCTGGCTGCTGGCTGCTGGCTGCTGCACATGCAACTGCTGCTGCATTTGTCGTCGTCTGATTTCAGCAAATATTTGCAAATTTACGTTGACTGTGTGTAACCCCAGCTTGGCCCGTGACGACGACCCCGCTGGCACCAACTGTGGGCGCACGAGGATGGGGCGGCACAGTCCGGGGTGCGGTTGGCATGCCAGCGGCATTAGCGACAACTGTCGTAGAGTGGCACTTAATGAGCAACGGCTGCTGCTGCTGTGGCAGCTACTCTGCTGCAGTGGCCCGCATGCCACACTGAGCGAGCGAGATAGAGTAACAAATAAAGTTGAAGTTATGCACGCTGGCCATGCAATTGCCTGGCTGCAGCAAAATGTATCTTACTGATGCGCACAACCGTTCATTGTAACTGGTACAAGAGTCGCCGGCCCTCGGTCGGTCGGTCGGTCGGTCGCTCGGTCGACAGTCACCAGTTGGCTGACTGCTACAGATTCTTCTTTAGCATTGCAGTAATTTGACTTGATTTGTTTAAGCTTCCACAGACACACATATAGACACACATACACACACGAGCAAACACGCACACACAGTCGAATGGACCCCTACTAAATGACAAATGTGCCACTGCCATATAATCGCATTAAAGACCAGTCCCTGCTGCTGCTGCTGCTGTTGCCGCTGCATATGTCATGCTCATTAAATTTGTATTTATAATAGTCGGCAGCTAAATCGCCTTACTTTGGCTACGCCCGTGCTTAGCGGCAATAATGGTAATCAGTAATCAGTAATCATCGTCATTTTTCGATAGCAGATTGGAAAGTGTCGCTGGGTGTTGTTGTCGCAGTTGCTGCTGCTGCTGCTGCTGCTGCTATTGATGTTGATGTTGATGTTGATGTTCCTTGACTAGGCAAATTGCAAAATTAATTAAATTTTTGCATAACTTTCGAGCGGCATAACAACAGATTCCTTGTTGTTGCTTTAGCCGACTTTGTTGGATAACTTTACTGCGTTGATTGGCGCGCTGTGGTTAGTGGCCGTCGTTCGCTCGGTCTTTCGGTTTACCCAATGAGTGGACAGCGGTTTGCGCGACAAGCAGTGGAACAAACGGAGGCAGGCGGCAGTTGGTCGGTAGCCCAGCCCGTTCCATGCTTTAACATTTCTCGTACATGCAAGTGACAAGGCAATATCCGTCACGCAAACAGCAGCAACAGCAGCAGCAGCAACACCCTGCAACCAACAGCAGCAACGATAACAACAGCAGTCAAGCACAATGGTAAGAAATCAATGACCAATTTCGTTAGAGTTAAGTTTAAAACTTTTTACGTTTAAATATTCCATGTACACAGTGGTTAAATGTTGGTGTAAGCTTACACTTTGGCTTTACATTCGCTTCCATTATTTGAATAAAATCACTAAAACTATATTTTTATAGATAACCATGTGTGTTGTCATCTTTAGATAGAAGTTCCTTATTCCATTCCAAATGTCCCATTTAAGAGCCCCAGGGTAAGAATAGTTATCGTTTATTATTTAAAAATTAATTCCTATTACCAATTATTATTTAAAAACGGATATTACAAAATACGAACAATTATTAATTCATTTTTATTGAATATTATTTTATGTATTAGTGAGTGAATGAACTTACCCTGGGATTATATCTTTAAAAAAAAAGAATAGATGCTGCGATTGAAAATGATCTGAAAATTAAAAAAATATAAAAAGAATATTATTTTTACTATTATTTTTATTATTATTATTATTATTTTGTAAATTATTTCATAACCATAGACAATATTGTCAGCTTTGAATTTCAGTAGCCAAATTGAAATTAAGGCCTGATTCGTCTATTTATGCGAAAGGTCAAAAACACCTACATTCATATCTGCCATACGCTTGTATTGTTGTTTTTCTCAGAATTGTTGCAATTGTTGATGTCAGACCGAATCTAATTCTCTAGGAGTATTCGAGGGCGGTTAGACATTCTTTCGAGGCCAGAGTTCTGTATCAAGGAATCGGCTTTCTTTTTATGTACTTTGGCTTTGTTTTTCAAAAAGGTTCGAGAGAATAGACTAGAGGGCGTTACAGGTTATATAGCCGATTTATATGATGTAATGTATGTGCCAACTGCTCAGTTCATAACTCAAGTGCTGTGGATTAATTATCGATAACTAAGCTATGAAAACTCATAAATTGGTACGCAACAATAAATCGGCATTTTATGGAGTGGCGTTAACTATGTACGACATCAAAAGGCGCAATTACATTGACGTAATCTGGACAAGATTATGAGCATGCATGAACACATGCCAGTCAGCATATGGCATATATGTTATCCTATATGCCAGTACATACGTACATACATACTCTCATTTATATGGATATAATATGCAAATTGAATTGGCCAACGAATTATTTTCGCCATTTAACTGCCATTATTGTCCACTGTGCGCGCTGTGGTTAGCTGTCCTGGTGAAATTATTATTCATCGCTTGTTGGGAACGACCACACGATGACGACGACGACGACGACGACGACGACGCCGCCGCAGCTGGCGTTGACAGCGCTGCCGCAGTTGGCGCACGAGTTAATTACGGTCCATTAGACTGCACAAGGGGTGTTTATTACCACATCAGTGGCGCCGCCAGCGCCACCACCAGGACACGAGCCAAGCGAGCCAAGCGACATACTACCTGATTGAAACTAGAAATTTGCTGGCTAACTCTTTGTGCATGGCTTCGTGTATTTCTCTGTGTGCGTGCGTGAGCATGAAATCAGTTAGAAAATCAGCTTTGACATGGAAATTGCGTCGCGCTTCAAACATCAAGTGAGAAACCACCTAAAAACAATTCATTGAAAGTGCACATTCGGTCGCTTCCGACCGATTCCTGATGAAGATCGAAAAGCTTTCGTCACGCACTTTACTAATTGCGACGCAAGCGCTTTAGGATCCCAAAACGAAACCTGGCCATAACCTGGACAAGCGCTAACAGTAAACCATTGTTGGCCACCAAGACTGGCGACAAAAATTTATTAAAATATTACGCAAGGCTGGGCAGTCAGTTTGTTTGCTCTGAAAGTGGGGCCACACAGAGAAGGGTGAGTGGGAGGGAGGAGAGGGAGAGAGGTACATGAACTTGTGTTGTGTTTGCATAAAACTTTTTGCCAAACAAAACTTAGCTTTTCCCTTGTCAAACCGACAGCATAGCTCCTCTTTTAATACTCCGTACCAAAGTTGATTGAAGGGGTATATAAGCAGCTACCTATAGAACAGACTTGTGCAATTGGGCTTCAGTTTAAGCCTTTCTGTACTTTTCTGAATGTAATTAAAATTCTTAAATACTTAACAGAAATCTTTACTATGACATTTTCATTCAAGATTTTTAATATTCATATGCAATTCGTGCTTTCTACTTCATGTTCAACCTTGAACAGGGTATTGTCAAGTTGGAAGTTATAGACTGACAAGTTCTTGGGAAATATTTTTTTTATTTTGTGCGTTCGCCTCGCAAATTTTCAACAAATTTAGAAGAGCGGAAATTGCAAAGCATTCAGCGAGTTGAGTTATTTGTACGACTGCGTGCAATGGGCGGCCGGTCGGAAGTAGGGGAGAGGAGAGGAGTAAGAGTGAGACTGGGAGTGGGAGGGAGAGGAAAAGTTTTTTGCTACCCCAAGAGTTTGGCATACGGATTTCGAATTGTACGAGTTTTGTTCTTCGGGATGGTCGGGGCTGCGAAGGCGTTGCAGCGTCGACAAAATAAAAAGTTTTCGCGTTGTTTACATAACAAAAGCAGCTATGCGGGAGGATGGGTGGAGCAGTATGCCAGGGCCAGAGTAGGGGCATCGGCAGGGGCAGGTCAGGGCAGGGGATTTCGTTTGGGTGGCCTGTCAATTTGTGCATTGGAATTTAACAACATTCAGTGCTCGTGCTGCCCGGCTGCATGCACATAAATTGAAGTTTTATTGTTGCTGCTGCTACTGGCCATAAACAAAGTAATTAAATGCAAAAGCCAAGCAGTCAACAACAACAACAATAAATACATCGACAACAACAAAAACAAGAACAACGAGAAAACGGAGTAGCCAAACGCAATTAAAGAGTTCAGAAAATGATTTTTGTTTGGCTAGCCGAAACGGATCCATCTCTGCTTTATATCACATCACATGTGCCCCAAACGCAAGCGAAAGGCGCAAAGGCGTAAAATAAAGGCAAAATCAAAGCGAGAACATTTCCGAATGCCGAAGATTGAGTGCCCTTGCAGTCTGTGAGGTTGCACCCGATTCAGTAAGGTTGATTTAATACAATTTGATAATACAATTTGATAAGTAATCAACTTGATTATAAACAGTTATTATTATATACACCAAATTTATAAATATATTTATATACTATTTTATAATTATATACAAATTTCATGTAGACAAGTAATATATTTGGGTCATAAATTTATAATCTTCTGGAATTCTTAAGTCGGATTTAAAATGGATGGTAGAACTTATTTCAAAAAAGAGTTATTACAAATAATACCAGCATAAAATTAATATGTAGGAATTCGTCGTCTACTATTCTATTTCTATTATGATATAAATTCCAGGACTTATCGGGATAACATATATATATAAAACTGATGAGTACAAATTTCCAAGTATATTAACACATTTTGCGAAAATAAATCACGAGTCGCGTACAGAGTCAAATATTCATAGGACCTTGAGCGAGTGTATAATGAAAAGGAAAATTTGCAATTGCTGTTGGCGCTGCTGCTGCTGCTGCTGCTGCATGCAAATAAACAAGACTTCAACAACGCGGCGCTAATTGACGCGACTGCAAGAATAGCGACGCTGACGCTGACGCCAGCTGCGACAGCGGTGCAGCTGCAAAGCGAGACCAGCAATTGGAGTAGCGGCTGTTGACCGTTGTTGCAACTAACTGACTCCCTGACGAGCTGAGTGACTGACGGAGGCTGCCTGATATGTTAAGAGATGAGCGCGTGACACGATCTACCGACACGAGGCTCATAAGGTCTTTCATACATTGCATAGCAAAATGATGAGCGGTAAAGATTTTTCAATTATAAAAAATCGTATTATATGTATTTGAATAAAAACATACGTTCATCAAATTCTTCTGTTAACTTTAAGATTAAATATGGTATTAATATGATTTCATGTCGATTGCTCAGTGTATTGGCTTGCTAACCTGAAGTTAAGACTTTAATTTTTAAATCTTTTTAAAATATTCTTCGATACTTAATAATTGCATAAACTTCATTAGCTTAAGACGTTTCGTAGTGGCTTAAGAGTTTCATAGTAACGAGACATTCATCAGATATTCGAGTTTACAGGCAATTAAGCACTTAAGCTAAATTATTTTATTGTATTTTTAAGGAGCTTTGTGGCGGAAATTGTTATAAAATATTTCGATAAAGCTTTGCCAGATTTTATACTTCGAATTGATTAAGTTTATGGGCGCTTTATGATTGAAAGCTACTACTGAAACTGAAACCGTTTTACAGTTTTGCTTCAAGTCTAACGAGTTCTGGCCGCCTCACGCGCCCATCTCCAAATCACGATCCGTTGCCGTTTTCTTTTCTTCGCTGCTGCTTCTTAATTGGCAACAAGTGACAAGATTTTTTGCAATTTATTCAAATGCAAGGCAAATATTTGTCAGAGTTGCGGGCAGGTGCGAGTACGAGACGGGGAAGAGGCAACCACTCGGCTCAACTGGCCAAAACTAATGGCAATGGCGTCTAATTGTGAGCTCAGCCACTCAACTATGTGACTAAATTTACTGTAGTAGTTAAAGTAGTGGGCGGCATCCACAATACCCATGAGAAATTATAATGTACCTCGCAAACACACACATACACATACACTCACACTCTCACACACACACAGTGTAATTATCATCATTATGAGAGCGACCAACAATCCATTTAGCCATGTGTTGCACAAACAACTACAAAACTTTCCAGCATTTAGTTATAGTTTGTACCGCAATTATTTAAGGGTATTCCCGGAAAAATAAACTAAACTCCAAAAACCGAGGGAATATAAAAAGAGTTTTACACTGCGTTTACAGCTTACGCTGAATTTACAAATTAGTACGACTCTTGTTCACAGAAACTATGCAATGTTTTGCTTAATTATAGACAAACGTTTATGCTAATCGCAAATTTAAAATGTTTAGCAATTTCTTATATAGTAACCTCTGACTTAAAATGGAGTACAAAAAAAGGTCTAATCAAAGATTTCCGATTATGTGGATACGATTTTCGCCACAATCTTTATTCATCTAAAAGTAATTTCTTATGGCAGAGGTAATTTATAGATTTTTTTCTCTTCTTTGGAAATCAAGTTCTTTCTTTTAATTTTTAAATTAGTTGGGCTACTTTCATAAACGAAGCCAAGATATCGAAATCAATAATAACTACATTCCGTAACTCAACTCATTTATCATATATCAGGTATCATTAATCAAAACTGTAGGAAAAGTGTGAAATTCATTTGGAAAAATACCTTCTCTAAGACAGTATGTTTATGATTATATTTTATGTGCATAGCCTATTCAAGAATCCTATTACTGGGATCACAATAAATTTTCTTGTCTTAAGCTCTCAGTTTCGACACCAAAATCCTTATAATTTATATCAACAGTAGGTTAATACTTAAAATATCATTCTTCAAAAATAAAAAAATA